CCTGCCCGGCCCACCTTTCAGATGTAGCTGGGGAAGTCTCTGGACCAGCCGCTGAGAGCGTCCACATAGCAACAATTAAGGATACAGGCAGTGTCAGAGATAATGATTACATATGTCTGTACACACCTTACCTTTTTGGCTCAGGAAAACACCCTCTCTCTTCTTCCAGTCTCTTTAGTCTTCTTATATAACTATGCTTAGCTGAACACATTTTCTTCCTTTCAAAGGAACTTGCAGGTGGGGTGTGTGTGTGTGTGTGTGTGTGTGTGTGTGTGTGTGTGTGTGGAGGACTTAAATAAACATGCACCAGAACTCAGAAAACATGTTACTTGGAAGAAAATCCTGAGGAACTACTTGAAGGCATATTCGAGTCTATTTTTCTTCCCTGCCTTCCTCCTTTCTAGCTTTCCCTTGCTAAGTCAGACATATATAGTTTTGGGAAGAGTTCACTGGCTTCTAGGAGGGTTGCCTCCTCATGGGAGTGAGGGGTTTCTTCCAATGCCTTGAGAGAAATGGGGGGGTCTCCAAGCTCCTGGCTCTGACTCCATGTTGGGGAGCAGGCAGATTTTTTGCAATCCGGGACATCCAGATGATGAAGACAAGTCTACCTGCCCCCGCAGGTTCCGTTGAATCCCAGCGGAGAGCTGAACGTGGGGCGGTAGGTGGACGACAACTTGTGTAGACCACGATCTCTAATACTTAAACTTCACCTTCTGAGTCAGATTTAGGGGTAATTAAATTTACTTAGAATGCAGTTTTAGAAAACAAGCTAGTCAGTTTGTTCTCGGCATCAAGGCAACTGGCTACGGACCGAAACAGTGGTGGGAGCCTGGAGGAACGGGGACTGAGGAAGGGCTGGCAGGATAAAGGGGCTGTCGCTAGGAACAGAACGGAGTGGGGGATGTTGCAAAGTGGGTGGAGACCGGCAAAAGAGCCATTATAACCACATTGCATTTGGGATAAGAAACCCTCTTACTGAAAATCATGGCGGTTTTGCCAAATGCTCAGGTTCATTGTCCTAGAAAGGCCCCACTAGCAAAGATAAGGATGGTATTAGGCAGGAGAGACAGATTCAGTCTAGCCTGTGGTTTCAGAGCCATCACATGGCCCGGGGACATTGACCCTCGGTGGGCCTTAGCTCAGACTGTGGCTCACACAGCATCAAACGACTGACTCAGAGCTCTAAGGATCCCACATCCTACCTCTCGAAGTCTTCTGCGCCCCTCTGAGTGAAAAACTCACCCATGTGACTGTCTTTTTGTGTAGAGAGCAGGTGGCCAAGAAACACTGTGCAAATAGCTGCTGGCACAGAAGTACAGAGCTGTCTGGCTGGGGACCGCCGACGTTAGGGAGAGGGAGAACTTCGCCTGCTCATTTCGAGAGACATTGTACCCATCGGAGGCCTCGCCTTTGTTCCTGTTTTCGATATTAATGGAGTAGTAGATCAGCTTTAGCCCCAGTCCTGGGTCTTGTCGATACCAGTACATATAGTCATGACCCTTGTTCTGAGAACATTCCAGAGTAATGCTGCTTCCTGTCTTTGCGATCCTATTCCTTGGGGTCTGGGTAACACCAGCATCCATAGACCCTGGGAAGAATCAGAACAGAAACTGGAGACAGAGCCCAGGAAGTGTCCTTTTGCCTCCGGGTCAAGGTGGAAGCTTCAACCAGGACCTGGGAAATTTAAGGCCGGGGGTTCTCACCTGTTCACAAACTCACCTGTTCCCAGGAGACAAAAAGCCACACAGCAGAGGAGCACGAAGCTCATGGCAGGGAGAGGCAGGACGGAGACGTTTCCAGCTCTGAGTATTGGGAAGCAGGGCACGGGAACAGGAAATTGTAAGGACCCAGTCAGTGATGTCACTGTCCCTCCTGACTTTCCAAGCTTCAGAGAAAGATACAGCCCCCCTTGTGCCCCGCAAAGGTCTAACCTTCTCCCCTCCTCGGTTGCTCAGGCAGGTGGTGCTTCGCTTACTGAGCTGTATGTAGGTCCATTTCAGCAGATGTGGAAACACTTCCCCCCTCCTCTTTCCTTCCTGGTTCTTCCTTCTTCCCAGGGCTTACGCTTGCCGTTGTTCAAGGAAGCATCATTCTCCCAATTCAACTGAATATGGAGAAAACTCAGAATCCTTTCAAATAAAGAGAATCTAGCCTCCTTGGACGGTTGTGACCCTGTAACGTTTCTCTCTCTCTCTGTTTTTGCGTTTATTCATTTTTTTTTTTTTTTTTAAATTCAGGTCTAGGTAAGCTACGCGATTTAAATATATTCGCCATAAAATTTGAGAGCTGCTGTTGCTGGCGTCGTTTATTTGTTCGTGTTCAGGGGGCGGCACTACTAACTTGGCTCCAGATTGCCAGCCGCTTTCTTGGTCAATGTTTTCTGGATGCAGATCATTACTGAAAATACCGGCTCAGGGCAGGAAGGTATTCACTTAACGTGGGTATGTATTTCAAATAAATGCTTAACACCTTCGCTCGTATTTTGAGTTAACTGAAAAGAGTTCATTAAAGAGCGAAGTTTAGCATAACATTAAATGTTCCTGATTTCAGGAGGAACATGTTCAATATTTCAATGGAACTGATTATAAATACAGGGATGGCGTGAAACCCTATCTGACATATCTAAGCGATGCTCATCCATGGACCTACCATGGCCCCCTACACTTATCATTTCTGCTCTATGTCCCATTGGGAACGTTTTCAAGTTTAATGTATTTTATTTCGATTATAAAATTGCTAGTGTAAAGCAAATTAGATGTAACAGTATAATGAGCCCCTCTCTCCCAGCTTTGATAATTACCAATTCACTGCCTATCTCGTTTACTCGGCATCTACTTCTCTCTCTCCTATGTTATGATGCACGGTTGCTGCTTTATGTAGGAGCGCCCAAGTACGTTGTACACCCACTGCATATGTTCTCTATGACATATACCTGTCTCCTCTCCCCTCTTCTCTCTCTTTTCCGGTAGAATATTCCATTAATAATACCAATAGAAACATAGATTTATTCCTGTAACTTGCCCCTCCAGGGACTCCGTTAATACAAACAGGATAATAATGAATAATATCATTTTGGGTTTGTCCTTAACGGGAAAAATATCATTGCCCTAAATTGTAATTCTTAAAATCAGCATCATGCTGTTCTGCTGCCCCCTGCTGTAGGCAGTGATTTGAGCCGCAGAGAGATTCGGGACCTGAATATAAACTATTAGTTTGGGGGTCACTTGAGAGAGCAAAGTCTCAGGGCTAGTCCAGTCCTACGGGAGAAGTTTGGAGGTATGAGGCAAGGAGGGGAGACGCAGAAATCTCTCTGGGAGCAGAATCTGTGCCAGAGCAGGGGTGGGGGACCATTATCAGAGAAATGAATGAAGACACATAATCAGATGGGGTGGAGTTGAACAGACACTCCAATTTCTGGACAACCGAGAGGGTCGTTGACGGCACGAAGCCAATATTCTCCGTACTCTGGGAGAATTGGACTCATATGACTCTCAACTCTGATTTATGGGCCACATTTCCTCTTCTCATTTGTGAACTATTGATCTGTAGAACAAACATCCTTTAGCACAAAGAGCGCCAAAGGGGAAATGATCTTTTGCTACTGGTTAGTGCTTTCTGTGTCATAAGAAATGTTTGCCTACCTTGAACTCACAAAGATGTTTTCCTATGTTTTCTTCTAGAAGATTTGTGGTTTTAGTGTTTACACATAGCTCTATGATTCACGTCACAACTGATTTTTATTTAAGGTATCAGATATCAGTAACGTTTAGTTCTTTCCATGTGATTATCCTGTTCCAACACCATTTGTTGAGAAAATTGCTATCTCAATGCATAACATTTCCAATCCATACACATGCTATATCTTCCCAATTTTAATGTTTTCTTTAATTTCCCTTTGTGAGGTTTTGTGATCTTTCATTAAACATCTTTTGCTAAATTTATTCCTGTTATGGATACTGTTTATATGGTATTGTTTTCTGAAGTTAATTTTTTCAATTGTTTGCAGTGTAAAAACACTTGATTTTTTTCTAGAGATCTTGTATCCTGTGATCTTGATAAATTCACTAATTATTTCTACTTGTGGTTCATTGATTCCTTAGGGTTTTCTATATAAATGATTATGTAATCTGAAAATCGTGATAATTTCACTCCTTTCTTTACGATATTTAGAACTTTTATTTCAGTTTTTTCTTGGCCTATCACAGTGGCCGAGAGAGATGGAAATCTCTCTACACGACTGGCAACAATCTAGAAAACTGGACAACCCCATAAGAGGAAGACTTATGTACTTTCAAGTGGGATTACAGACGTACACAGCAATTCTGAAGGGCCCTCTGCTGGTATTTAGATGCATAAAATAACATACACGTGTAGTATTCCGTGTCTCAGCAATCATGATTCTGCGTATGTAATCCTATAATCCCAGGTACATAAAACTATATGTACAAGCATTTTTCAATGATGGCAGGACATTGGAGGAAAATTGGGTGATTCTTACTGGAGGAATGGGTATGGAGTATCGTGCATCATTGAGAAGCAACAGACTAGATGTTCATATAGAAAAATGAAGTTTGAGCTGAGCGGAAAAATCTGAGACAGAATGGCATGCATAACAGTGTAGAGTTACACGATTTTAAATACATGACAAGGGGTGCAAACTCCAGGAGCTGGCTCATGGTGGGCTCATGTCCATCTTCTATTTCCCCTGAGACTGTAAACCCAGGTTTAGAAAGAGCTGGGCTGGTCTTTCTTATTGGAGTGGAATGATGACAACTGAATTTTTGACCTTTAGTAACCACCTTATCTTTGTCACGGGGACTGGAGAGAAAGAGAAAGACAGATACAGGGAAACAAACAAACAAACATAAAGCAGACGAAATAAGAGAAGGAACATTGAGAGCTGGAGAGGTAGCGGTTCCAGACTCTGGCCCAGTGGGTGTTTTTTTGCTTTTTCTTTGGAATTGTCTGTCCATCACTCCTTGCCTGCTGCTAAACGCCGTTTAGCCTGGTAGCAAATTCCACTGGGGCTTGAGCGAGCTCAGGTTCATTTCTGTTCCTTCCTCCCTTCCTAACACGTCACCTGCTTCCTGGGCTGGGTCCATGGTGAGTTTATGCACTAAGAGGAACTGCTGTTTCAGCACTGTGGATTGGCTGCTGGCACAGAAGTACAGGGCTGAGTCTCCTGGTTCTGAGGACCGGATTTCCAGGCTGCAGTGTGAGTTTTGGGAGTTTTGGGAGCAGTTAGCCGAGAATCGCTTCTTGACCAACTCAATTTGATCGAGAATATCTTCGTTCTGAAAGTAAATCAAAAACTTGAACTCTTCGTTCTGGATCTGTTGATACCAGTAAACTACAGGATGTCCTTTTTGGGGGAGACAATCCATCTTCGCTTTCTGTCCTTTGCCTTTGACCAGATGACTGGGAGTCTGAATGACTTCGGCATCACTAATGCCTGTAAGAGAAGAAAACAGAAGCTGTAGACGAAGCCCACGAGGGACCTGGACAAGGGGGTGGCCAACCCAGAACAGGATTTTTCTTTTGCGCTCAGGACTCACCTGCTGCTCCCAAGAGACAAAGGGCTACACAGCAGAGGAGCCTAGAACACATGGTGGCATCGAAGCCGCAAAAGAATGAGGCTTTCTCATGCCCCTTCGGCAAGCTTCTGGTGACGTGTTCACTTTGCAGACTCATAATCGTCATGAAACTGGGCAAAAACACTTGATGGTATCAGAAGGAAAGCTTTTATTCTAGCTCAGAAAATAAACTAGGTTATATTTTATTCATTTATAAATATTCATTTAAAAACATTTTATAGCTATTTTTTACTGACAGAAACAAAGGCATATATTTTTTAGAAACTTAAGAAATAAAGATAAAATGTACCATATCACTGCCAAAGATGATCACTGCTAACTGCTAGTGATAGTCTTTCTGGATCTTTCTTTCTCTTTCTCTGTAGATAGATAGATGATAGATAGACAGATGGATGATGCTCTTTCTCTGTAGATAGATAGATGATAGATAGATGATAGATAGATTAGAGAGATGATAGAGGATAGATGATAGATAGAATAAAAATATATCATTAGCAGTTGTCTGAAAAATGCTTTTTATCGTTGATTTGAACATCAGTCTCTCAGAACTAAGCATTCCTTTTGACAATTATCTAATTATCTTTTAATATAATATAAATCTCCGCTCTTATTGTTTTTATAATTCTGAGACTACTTTGCAGAATATTGCATCTTGTTGATATTTCTGGTGTGTTTTAGCCTATTTATTTATTAGTGTTTATTTTAGCTAACCTTTCTTTTTCTTCCCTTTATTTTAAATAGTGCACTTCATCAATAGTGCACTTCATGACCTATTATTGCTGACTTTTTTCTTCCTTTACACACCCCCATTTCAGGTAAGTAATGTTAACAGCTTAATGTATATCTTCTCATGAATTTCTCCTTACTCATTCAGTCGTTCAGTGAGGTTGTTTTCTCCACGTTAAAATATTGATCTTGAACATATACACAAGACTTTGATAACATACCAATGAAATGAGCGCTTGAACAAATAACCCCACTTAGGAAATAAACTATGCAAATAGGGCAATTCTGTATGTGTCTCCTGCGGTATAATTCTTCACTTAGAATTATAAAATTGAGTGTGTATAAAATTTCCATTAAAATATAGATGCGTTTCATTTTAGTTCATTCGCTTTCACTGCCGTATAATTTCTTCATAGAAATACACCGTCATTCATTTATCCGTTCTTCTGTTGGTGTGCATCTGGGTATTTCATAGTTTTTTTGCTATTACAAGGTAGTGTTACACTGAATATTCTTGTACATCTGCCTTGGTTTTTACATATGAGAGTTTCTCTAGAAAAGAATTTCTCAAGAGTGGAATTGTTGGATCGTGGGTATACACATCTTTTTATAGCAGCTTTGTTGAGGTGTAATTGATATACAAAAGAACTGAACATATTTAATATACAGACTTTGATGAGTTTGGGCACATGCCTACACCCATAATGCCACAGAGTCAGGAAAAAGCCAGGTGTTCTAATTTTCATCCCTGGACATTTTCCATGTCACGTGGCCACGTTATCGGCTCAGCTCATTCATATTTTGCTATTGTCAAACGCCACAGCTTCCCCACACTTCACACACAGACACCCTCGTCTCTCTCTCCTCCCCACCCCACCACACACACAGATGTCTCAGTCAGGGGAGCTGAGGTTTCCCTCCCCCCACGCCTCCCCCACAGGGCTCCCCGGGTGCAGGGTGGGTGGAGAGGAGGGGGCTGGTGCAGGGGTTCTTGCCTGG